GGGGGGTCATTACAGTAAGTACTTTTTATTCAAGAAAATACAACAGTAATGTCCAACTTTAAAACCAAAAAGTATATTTACGAGCAGCTTTGTTATGTACCAAGCTTCACATGCACATTACACTAAAACTGCACGCCCCTCACAAAAGTTAAGGCTTGTTCGCCTGGCACACATGTTTAATCACATTGATCCATTGATTACAGTGACATCATTTACATGAACACTCCTACAAGCATCCTGCACATGTTGGATGCTGTCTATCATGGAGCACCCTGCACATGTTGGATGCTATCTATCATGATGCATCCTGCACATGTTGGATGCTATCTATCATGATGCATCCTGCACATGTTGGATGCTGTCTATCATGGTGCATCCTGCAGATGTTGAATGCTCTATGTCATGATGCATCCTGCAGATGTTGGATGCTATCTATCATGATGCATCCTGCACATGTTGGATGCTGTCTATCATGGTGCATCCTGCAGATGTTGAATGCTCTATGTCATGATGCATCCTGCAGATGTTGGATGCTATCTATCATGATGCATCCTGCACATGTTGGATGCTGTCTATCATGGTGCATCCTGCAGATGTTGAATGCTCTATGTCATGATGCATCCTGCAGATGTTGGATGCTATCTATCATGATGCATCCTGCACATGTTGGATGCTGTCCATCATGGTGCACCCTGCAGATGTTGGATGATGTCCATCATGGAGCATCCTACAGATGTTGGATGCTGTCTATCATGGAGCACTATGCACATGCTGGATGCTGTCTATCATGGAGCACCCTGCACATGTTGGATGCTGTCTATCATGATGCATCCTGCACATGTTGGATGCTATCTATCATGATGCATCCTGCACATGTTGGATGCTGTCTATCATGGTGCATCCTGCAGATGTTGGATGCTGTCTATCATGGAGCACTATGCACATGTTGGATGCTGTCTATCATGGAGCACCCTGCACATGTTGGATGCTGTCTATCATGATGCATCCTGCACATGTTGGATGCTGTCTATCATGGTGCATCCTGCAGATGTTGAATGCTGTCTATCATGATGCACCCTGCAGATGTTGGATGATGTCCATCATGGAGCACCCTGCAGATGTTGGATGCTGCAGATGTTGGATGCTGTCTATCATGGTGCACTAAGATTCGTAACTGGCTGTAACTACCGTACCCACCACTGCTCCCAGTATCCACTGGTTAACTGGTCACCATTAACTTCACACAGACTCTCTCACTGGTACATTTTCATCTTTAAATCACTTCTTGGTCTGCTGCCTTCATACATCTCCTCCTACATGTCTCTGTGTGAGTGC